GGTACTTATAATACCTGACGAAATTTATTAATGCTTGTTACAATTAATTAAATATAGATTTTTTTTTTTAAATTAGAAAATTTTTATATTTTTTTTGTGCCGTTACAAATTTTTTAAAAAATTTTTTAATTTTTTTTGGTCCCTAAAAAATTTTTTCCCCCCCCCCCCACCCCCGTCACAAAGTGTGACAAATTCCCGACCCCCCCCCCCCAAACCAAAAAAAAAAATCCCATAACGTGACATCATTTGTCAATGACCCCAAACATGGTGACTGTATGTGCAAATTGGCAAGGGCTTGAATGGCAGAAAAGTTTGAATTAAATTGTGTACCTTCTAACCATGATTTTACCTTCACAAAAACTACTTATCTTTTTTTTAAAAAAATAATTACCAGGTGTCGTCAAAAGCAAGTTACCAGCTACTCCCACGATAGGCCAAGTCTCGAGAAACATATCAATAACAACAACTACAACAGCATCAGCCCTTTGCTGTCAAGTCCACGAAATCAAAGTAACCCTAGTGAACTGCAGCTGCCCCTAAACTTTTCAATAAACGTAAACCAGCAAATTCCAGTACAGCTGTTCCTGATGAGAAGAAATAAATTGTTTGTTTTAATTTTTTTAAATTCTTGTGTTATCTTTATGAACGATCATTTATTCCAGAGGATTGCTCCTTGACTTATAACCTAAAATTTTGATTTTTTTTTTTCCAATTTTGATTTCTTTATCAGTGGTAATCAATGTTCCCTCTAAGGTTTGCTGGTTCGTGTGCAAAATCATACAGTTGTGTGCAAAGTTTTAAAGCATCAATTTTTGTGTGTGCAAAATTTTACAGCCGGCAAAGACAAACACACACTTACATGGAAATTTGCTGCGCGGAAACTCAAAACTGCTGCGAGGCCGCGCAGCTTAAAGGGAACACTGGTGTTAATTGTAATGTCCTTACTGCTCTTTAATATCTAGTTTTTTAATTCTGATGTTTTCCCCCACATTTTACTAGAAATCTTCATCCGTCCACATCGCTAGTCAATAAAGTACTCAACTAGTATAGACCAACAATACAGGGATTAGAAACAATTTTGGAATAAACGAAATGTTGATTGCTGAAGCATACTTTGCAAAAACCCCACTGATAAGGTTTCTTTCAAATAAATACGATTTATTGATGAAAAAGAACTGAAAAGCATTTTTGTTTATGATGCTCGGTAAGTTCTCTTAAATTTATTCTGTTTGAGGTAGTTTACTAACCCAATCTTTGATCGTAATATTAATAATAAAGTTTATTTGAAAATCACGCTTCATCCTCAAAGGCTCGAATTGCGGTACAATGTCATCCATATTAAAAGAGAAATGAAACAATCTATATAATACCACATTCAAATACAAAACACAACATTACAAAAACTACATACGAGAATACCCATTCTAAGTCTTTCATAATAAAATATACATTTTGAATGTGATGCCTAGGGCATAAAACCGACCCAGTAGTTCGTTTATAGAAATGATTTGCGTGCCTGCAAGCCACGAGCAAAGCGAAGTTGGTATAAAGAATTTAATTTGTTTTTAAATCACCTAAAGATGAAATGGCTTAATGTGGTCCTCATATTTCTGACTTTATTTTCAGAGAGCTATTAATTTTTGTGTGTCTAAAAAAAATTAGATGACGACCAGTCATAAATACTATTCCCATCCTATGTCTTGTTGTTGTTCGTCCTTAGCATGCGAAGATGACCAAGACTATAATACTCGACGTTGACTACGCAGTTCATCAAGTCCTATTTTCACTAAGAAAGCGTGCCAGCATTCAGCACACAAGTTTTGTTGGTTTATGGTCCTAGTTGGGAATCGCAAATACACAATCATTGTAGATACACTAATTATTGGGTTTATTAAATTAGGAAGGACAAAAAGTTAAACTATAAAATAAATTGTATTTTCATGCAAAATATTGGGACATAAATAAAAAATATATATTTGAGGAAAAAAAAACTTTTTACGTTGAATAGTTTTGATGAGTAGTGGTCGTCTCGCGCGGTACCCTCTGGAAGGTATCCGTTGCTTCCGACCCTCTTGTTCGGTCTGGCCATAGATTTGTCGCTCTTGCCGTCCAAACTCCTTGAAGTGATGGTATTGCTAACATTCAATTTCCTGCAGTCCCTATTTGTGACATGAAAGCTTCGTAGTCAAACTTTGCAGTCCTAGAATGCATACTGGAAGAACGTGGGGAAGTGGGTGATAAGGGGATGTTGGTCTTAATACGCATTTTTTGCTTTATTTTATCAGGCAAATGAAATATATATAAATATATACATATATATATATATATATATATATATATATATATATATATATATTTATATTTTTCTATATTTTTTTTTTTTTTTCTCTTTTTTTTTTTTTTTTTTTTTTTTTTTTTTTTTAATATATATATATATAGATATATATATATATATATATATATATATATTTATACTTTTCTAGACGTTTCTTCTTGTTACTCTTTATTTGTTATTTTTTCTTTTATTTATTATTTTAAAACTAAGAGGAAATCTCTTAGTAAGAAGTTACACTTGCTTTTAAGCATTTCGTGAATATGAGTACAGGCTCAACTTGCAGTCGTCTGATAGGGGGTTGCACTGCTTAAGTATGAATTGTGGAGATTTATTTTTCTTATTGAAACACATACAGAACGTGCAGTAATTCAATTTTCATGATTTTTTTTTCTTTAAATTCTCTTAAAATAAGACATTGTCATATGGGGATTCGAATTGGAGCTTAGGGAAATTCCTGTAAATATTTAAATTTTGTGTACTGAAATTTGATTTCCCGATATTATCATCGGGTTTTCATCATTTAGACCTACACGTTGAGAATAATTTCTTTTAAAACCTGAACACGATACTTAATTACTTCATACGGCAATGTGTTATGCATATATTTGTTTTTAAAACAGATAACTTTAATAATTAAAATAATAATTTATTTCAATTTAAGATGTTGCTGGGACTTAAATTGTTTTCTTTTTTTTTAAATAAGTTATTTTTATTCCTAGTTTTATGTAAACTTTCGTTCAAGCATCATTTTGTCACAATTTAATCACAATTATTATATTCGTTATATTCGCAGGTTTTCATAAAAGGTAAATAAAAGTAATTTAAATGGTTTCATCATTATTACTGCATTTTTAGGCCGAAAGTTCAGTTGCTTTAATTGGAGTGTGCATGGCGTTTTCTCTTTCTCTTAGCATTCTGCAGTCAGTTACTACCATTTTATTATTTAAAAAAAAAATAATGGAATTTTATTTTACTCCTAAAACCCTTAAAATCAATCAAAACAAAATAATATGAATCAATCAGATTGGAAAAATGATAATTTTTAATCAATTGTAATAGTAATAATAGCATTAGCAATAGAAATACAAATTCTAAGACATTAAATAAAATTCAAAATGATATACCTGTATTGGAAACAATGGAAATAGAGCCAAACAGAAAAGAAAATATGTGATTTATAATTATAAACTGTTTGATAACGAAAGTTTGTAGCTGTTGTTGTTTTGTGTGTGTGTGTGTGTTAACATTGGTATTTTGAGACGGCATCGCATTTGTCGAATAATCGATGATTGTAGTATCCAATAAATCTTATTTTTGATGTTTCATGCAAAACTTAAACAACTATAATAAAAAAAAAATATTTTAACCAGGGCCGGACTTAGACATGCTCTGGCCCTAATTATACAATAGTTAAGAGACCCCATACCGGTTTAAATTACGCCAGCTTGTCTAAGAATTAAAAAAAAAAATTAAGCCGCCTTTATAAATCTAGTTAAGTGATGAGCAGAATTGATAGTTTTTTTAATGGAGAAAATTTTGAGGAACGTAGACAAGAGCATTAAAAACATAGGAGTGGCCACACTGAAAAGGACTGTTAATTTGTTAGTATTGACATTCACACTAGATGTAGTAATAGTATTGACATTCACACTAGATGTAGTAATAGTATTGACATTCACACTAGATGTAGTAATAGTATTGACATTCACACTAGATGTAGTAATAGTATTGACATTCACACTAGATGTAGTAATAGTATTGACATTCACACTAGATGTAGTAATAGTATTGACATTCACACTAGATGTAGTAATAGTATTGACATTCACACTAGATGTAGTAATAGTATTGACATTCACACTAGATGTAGTAATAGTATTGACATTCACACTAGATGTAGTAATAGTATTGACATTCACACTAGATGTAGTAATAGTATTGACATTCACACTAGATGTAGTAATAGTATTGACATTCACACTAGATGTAGTAATAGTATTGACATTCACACTAGATGTAGTAATTAGATTTAGATGCTGGCAAACGGCCTCTAGTACTCAAAACTAAATAAAACTGGACGGTTAATGAAATTAAAGAAGTTTAGCTTGCAAATTTTCAATTGTAAGTTAAGACATTGTTTAGGGAGGTAAAAGAAAATAGGAAAAGGGTAAAAATAGATAATAATTAGTAGGAAAATATACTTTAAAATATATTATTCTAGGACCCGGCAGATTGCGAGGCCCTGGGTTTTTTTGTTTTTTTTACAGTATATGTAAATCCGGCACTGATTCAAATTTCAATTGTTTTTTCATTGTTAAGATCATTCATTGTTAATATCATGGCAACATTTTGATTAAGTCATGTTGCGTCAGTGTTTGATTTCAGATGCAAGAGTCACACTTACTATAACGATGTCGTACCAATTACGATGCCTTATTGTTTTTTTGTTTTTTTAGATTGTATTTCGAAACGATAAATTATCTCTAAAGAATTCGCAAATTTAAGGCAACATAGATATCATCCATCTTTTAAACGACATGTACCACCTGAATGGTATGTTTACATGATACATGTATATTTAAATTGACTGGTCATAGGTTAGGTTTCTGATATGTTAAAACACAAAGATACGCCAGAGAATATCGGATAATTCCAAAGCCCGACTTCGTGTAACAGGGAACTTTCAAGAAAAAATTGACCCACTTTTGCTCTATAGATCTTACAAGAAAATTTCAAGACCGGATAGCAGCTATAGTTGAGTGCAGAAGCTTCCACGTTCAACGAATTGTGGAGTTGGTGAGTTATTAAAATAAAAGACGACGAAAAGACGTGAAAATATCAGGAGTATTGATAAAGAGAACAATGTCGACTACGGATGATCTTTCGGTAGACAATTCTAGTTTTGGCGTCGTATACGATAGCGCTGGGAATGCTGCCGGTGTCTGGCGTTTCTTTGAGTCCTCTTTCTTCCATCTGTTTCATTTTCATCTCCTCTAGTTTGATGGCGTGTTTCCTGTCGGCTTTCTCTTTCACAACGACATGTTCACCGGTGGCTTTCTCTTTCTCCAGGGCGTATTCCTTGTCTGCCTTCTCTTTCCTTATGGTCTCTTCTCTTTCGGCATTCTCTTTCCTTATGGCCTCTTCTCTGTTGGCCTTCTCTTTCCGTATTGCCTCTTCTCTGTTGACCTTCTCTTTCGTTATGGCTTCTTCTCTGTCGTCTTTTTTTTCCCTTATGTCTTTTTCTCTTTCGGCCTTCTCTTCCCTCTCTACTCTGTTGGCCGTCTCTTTCCGTATAGCCTCTTCTCTGTCAACCTTCCCTTTCCTTATGGCTTTTTCTCTGTCGGCCTTCTCTTTCCTCTCTTCTCTGTCGGCCTTCTCTTTCCTTATGGCTTCTTCTCTGTCGACCTTTTTTTTCCTTATGGCTTTTTCTCTGTCGGCCTTCTCTTTCCTCTCTTCTCTGTTGGCCTTTTTTCCCCTTATGGCCTCTTCTCTGTTGGCCTTCTTTTTCCTTATTGGCCTCTTCTCTGTCGGCCTTCTTTTTCCTCTCTTCTCTGTCGGCCTTCTCCCTCCTTACTACGGCATCTTCTTTGTCGAGTTCATCTGCAATGTATTTGATAAGTTCTTTTCCCTTCAATCCAAATAATTCTCCATCTGTCCTAATTTCAGCTTTTCTTTTTACAAATTCCGCCATATTGACAGCTAACCAATATCTTTATATGAGCAAGTACAATATTCCGCTGAACACAAGTGTTACGCACTGGCTTCTAATATGAGAAATTAATCTCCTATTTTAATTTTATTGGCTCGTTGTAAACAGTGCCTAACAAAGGACGATACCATAGAGTCAACAATATTAAAGATACGACACCTAAAACAGTTGCCAGTTACAATTAATAAGATTTATTATGTCTTAAGATAATTACAAAATAAAAGAAAATATAATGACAATCTTCAACTTACAGTATGGTAGATCTTGTACGGGTACACAGTTAATAAAGTTAGAACATGTGTCAATGAATAATGATGAATGCGAAATGAACACATATAAGTATGAGCACACACATACACAAAGAATAATACACGCCTCGTAAAGTTAATAAAATCTATCTGAATCTCCGTCTCTCCGTCCATGCATGTCAATCCCTTATATAGGTCGCGTAAGCCCTGCCTTCAAGAAAGACTTATGATGTTTCTAGAATAATCACAATCATTCTACAAAATACTATTTGGAACAGATAAATTATTTTTAGTTGCTGTCGGCATCAACACGACAGATCAAAAGACTAAGCCACACCCATCTGTGAACACAGCGTCTCATGCGTGGTCAATCAGAGTGAACGCACGAGAAAAATTATGTAAACAAGCTCTATATAACAACAAGGGAGTCGAAAAAAGGCTTAGCCTTCAACAACAATAGCTTGTAATAACAACCAATAAATAACTAAGTATAAATAAGATTAATTTCATATTTAAGGAATGAGCATACAAATTGGTACAAAGCAAATGAATGGAACTTATATATTCTATCTATTCTGTTCAGATCTGTTCAAAAATCCTGGCTTGGCCCCCATTGACGCCCTTGTGGTGAAATGACTTTTATATTAGGGGTGTGAGAACAAATGTTTGATGAGTGTCACACCTGCTTGTGTCTAAGGGTATTTTGTTATGTCGATTTCACACATTTATGTTCATAATTACATTACTCATATATGCATTAACTATCAAATACTTCATAACACCATTCAATTAATGAGTTGAATTATTTATTTACAGGTGTATTAATATATGGCATGATAGTGAAGGATATGCTAACAACTTTCATATAAATTCTCTAAGTTCTAGTTTATGATGAAAAATGGCCTCCGGTATAACCTATTTCTCATCATAACAAGTGCTTTGCCTTGTAACACAATTGTATATACTCAGACTTTTCACACTTAAGTTATCAGTCACTCCTGCTGGCTTGATCATCTGGCTTGATCGGTCACTAGTAGTTTCACTTCGATGCGGAGGTGGTGTGTCGTGACGTACGTCGTCTAGAGGTCGGTCCCTTGCGTACTAGCCACAGAACAATTTTCAAGGGTTAGAACCTCTTTATTTCTAGCTCCTACAAAGCTGATGGGCTCATGTTCCAAGTATCAAACAAACGATTAAGAGATTCAGGTTTTTCTTATTTATTGGCTACATATGCCTAACAGTGGAGAGGTTTATAAGAAATAAGCTCTGGTGTTCAGAATAAAACGTGTACAGAAAAGCTCCTCATACTACACAAAATATAGTTATACAAGTCTTCTTCCATCCGTAGAAAAAATCACTCCCTTCACAAAGACAAAAATCATACCCCTTGATCCCAGCACTGGCCAATGTTCACCCTCAGAAACTCATCAACTTTTTCACCCACTCCTATCATCACGTGGCTCCCCCCGACACACCACCACGGCCATACACGACCGAAAAAACTCGTGGGGCACACGGGGGAAAAAACCCACCTACGATGGCTCAATTAACTTCATAAAAGCTGATACAGAAAACTTGCGCGATCTGACCGTGACAAGTGGCTCCTCTGATTCTTCACTCCGTGGCTTTTCATGGATCAGCGCTGCTCATGGCGTTCACGTAAGTGGGTTATGAAGCAGCTGTGATGATCTGGTTAGATCATGCACAATAATGAGATCACTTCAACGTGGAAGTGGATTCTCGGGTCCTGTCCTTCGTAGCCTCTCAGGGCGATCACGCGAGGGGACTAAATAGCAATGCGATGCGGTAGAATTACCTCAAGGGTGGAAGTCAATTCTTTAATTCTTTAGCTCGTCGCTTTTCAGGGCTCAGTGCTTTTCAGGGCTCAGTGCTTTTCAGGGCGTTCACGCAGGTAGATTGATACCAGTCAAAACTGTACCTTCTGGAATACCTCTTCCCCCGGTACGCTGTGGCGGGTGTATGTAAGACTTCTCTTTGAGAGTAAAGTCCATCAGCACCCGGTCCTATCGTTGCGGGCGATGAACTGGTCTTCCGGAGGGATTCCATGATGGGGTTCATAGACTCAGGCCTCAGTACACCGATTCCTCAATTCAGCTGCTTAGGTGCGGTTGACTGTACTGCAGTAATACAGCGATCTAGCAACCAGGCTATATGTGAATGAATGATAAAAGAAAAGAAGCAAACGACTCTTCTAATATTCTCGAGCTAACGCATCTCTTTCCAATGGCAACGAATTCAGATCGAGGCGTCAAAGGAGATATACGTTTGACAATGTTGATATCCATTGCGGATATCATTATTCGTCTTCACCATGGCCGGCGCGCGCATGGGTGTCTGGCGTCGACACGTGGCAATGAATCTTTTCATACCTAATTATACAATGACTTAATAATATACAGGATGGATTAATATACTATATCCAGCTAACTATAATGGATAACATAATAACTAACAACTATCCAGTGGCCACATCACCATCCACACGATGGGATGAAGTCTAGATGATCAAAACTCAAAATGGCCGACTCGTGAATTATGAGGAAGGCACGTGTCAAAGGTTGAGAAAATTTAAAGTACAAGTGAATTAACTAAATTCATTCTAATCAGAATGATCATACATACATTGAAACATTAAATGGTCAGCCAAATATGTACATGGTAGTGCAAATATTTAAATAAAGAAATGAAATCGAAATGTTCGTCCAACTCACCAGGTTTAGAAAAAGCCGACTTTAAGGTGCTCTAAGTTGACTGCGAACTTAAGAGACGATCTTGAAAAGACATATTTTAACTTTTGCAGCGGCTGTCATAATGATTCTATTCTAATTGCTATTTGACAATCACTACCATGTGCTATCTTAATCCAATAAACTTTATATTTCGATGCGAGATATTGTTCCAATAATCGCTCAACCGAGGCGAGACAGATGGGTGACATTTCCATTTCTTGTTTCAGTTCTTGGTTCAGTCCGCTGGTCATAATATTTATCCGTTCAGTGACTTTCCACGTGAGGTAGACGGTGATCAGGAGAAATGACGTGTCCTGACCTTGAAAAAAAAGGGGGGAGGGGGTTGTAAGTAGGTCGTCATGAGTACATGGAAATTTTCATGTCAGTTCCATTTCGTCACTCTACTCCCACTGATGAGGTACTCATTGCCTTGTTTCACCACACTTTTGCATATTTCGTTTGTTATGTGTTTCAGTTTTCATGCATGGAAATGTCTGCGTCCCCATTTCTAGAGGAAATTGGATTTCTTAACATTATCTTGGTGCATTTTCGTCGTACGCTTCGGGGGGTGGGGGGCGACATTTTATTTGCTCTGGACAACGCTGGTCTTAGGTACACTTTGGCCCTGCGCGAAGCACCATTCCGACCAAACTCACTGTATGAAAACTCACTGCATGAAAACTCACTGTATGAAAACTCACTGCATGAAAACTCACTGTATGAAAACTCACTGCATGAAAACTCACTGCATGAAAACTCACTGCATGAAAACTCACTGCATGAAAACTCACTGTATGAAAACTCACTGCATGAAAACTCACTGTATGAAAACTCACTGTATGAAAACTCACTGTATGAAAACACACTGTATGAAAACTCACTGTATGAAAACTCACTGCATGAAAACTCACTGTATGAAAACTCACTGTATGAAAACTCACTGTATGAAAACTCACTGTATGAAAACTCACTGTATGAAAACACACTGTATGAAAACTCACTGTATGAAAACTCACTGCATGAAAACACACTGTATGAAAACTCACTGTATGAAAACACACTGTATGAAAACTCACTGTATGAAAACTCACTGTATGAAAACTCACTGCATGAAAACACACTGTATGAAAACTCACTGTATGAAAACTCACTGCATGAAAACTCACTGTATGAAAACTCACTGTATGAAAACTCACTGTATGAAAACTCACTGTATGAAAACTCACTGTATGAAAACTCACTGCGTGAAAACTCACTGTATGAAAACTCACTGTATGAAAACTCACTGTATGAAAACTCACTGCATGAAAACTCACTGTATGAAAACTCACTGTATGAAAACTCACTGTATGAAAACTCACTGTATGAAAACTCACTGCGTGAAAACTCACTGCATGAAAACTCACTGTATGAAAAGCGATTGTACCAAAAAGTGAGAACACCGTTTCTCGACCCCGGACCCGAGGTTCACACTTCACTATAGTGAACTAAGGGAATTTAAAAATTTACTGGGCGCGCCCAGGCGCCCTTATGATCATGGAGAGGGCACAGGTCGCACACCCTAAGGGCCGGCCCTGCTCGGCGGCGACAGTTTACGTGCTCGGGGGCGCGGAGGTGAGGGGCTGAAAGAAACCCTGTTTAAGGCCACCGGCTTCAACCATTAAACATATTTTTCCCCAGGCCCATCTATCAATTTGGCCAATGCCGCAAGAGGCATAAAATCGTAGTACTTCTGATTTCTGGGAAATCCAAATAATAACGTTAAAACCATACGTAAAGTCATGGCCTTTGAATATATAAATATATATATAATTTTTTTTAAATTTCTCTTCTTTTTTTATTTACAAGTTTAAAACTTATTGCATTTTTTTAAAATTATATATTTTTTAAAAATTCGGTCGAGAGTGAGGTACAGTTCATAAAAGTAGATCCCAATCTTGTTTTTGACACAGCATATGTCAAAAATGACGAGGACAAAAGGTGTCATTACTACAATTTCCGATTTCCGTTGAATTGGTAACGCATATAGCACCTGGAAATTTTAATTTGGATTTCCCCGTTACTACTTTTGTTGGTTTTTTTTTTTCTTAACAGCATTCCTTATTTCTTTGGCACGGGAGGAAGATGAGCCAATAATGAGTGGAATATGGAGCTCACATTTTCGACGAAGACGTCGAACGGAGGTAATTTTGATTATTAATTATCCAGTCAGGCAATTGTTAAGCAACGCATTAAAAATACACGTTTTATGGGCACTTTTCTCATTTCTGTGCGACTATTAAAAGAAAAATAAACAGTTGACTAAGAAAATAAATTACCTTATTTTATCCATATTAAAGATTACGAAATAAATAAAAGAAGTAATGGCCCTAAACTTAATTTTAAAAAAATAGAGTTGTCCATGAGTGGGGATGATACGTAGGAAATTGAGCCGGTATAGCCTCTCATTTGAATCGATAGCGTGCCGAAAGGAAAACGGATACGGTTCTACATGCCTAATTTGTTACATGCAGTCAAACAAACCTAAACAAGTAATGATATTTTTAATATAATAATAATGATAATAATAATAGTCATGATAATAATAATAATAATAATAATAGTAATAATAATAATAATAATGATGATAATAATTACAATAATGGTGATTAAAGTAATAATAATAATGATTATAATGATGATGATGATAATAATAATAATAAAGATAAAAATGGTAATGATAATAATAATAATAATAATAATAATAATAATAATAATAATAATGATGATAATGAACTAAATTATAATTTAATTTTGAGAAAGACTTCTCTTTACTGTTTGTGCCTACATACATATATGATTTGAGTCAAGTATTTAATTTACAAGTTTAATTTTATATTATTTATAACTTCTTTGACATTAATTTTCATTGTTTTGTACCTGGTATCTTGTTTCAGGATCCAACCCTAGCTCGGTCTTTGATGTTAATGGGAAGAACCGGCAACGGCGGCAGTTCTACGGCAAACTCGATTATGAGGAAGATGCGTTTCACAAGTGCTGCATCCGCAGTATCTGTGACTAAGCGGACGGATCACGACGTGTGCGAATTCAACAATACGCGATTACACGTACTCGATGGGCCAGGCATTGACTTTGTCAGTACTGATGATGAAAGTGCCATGAAAAGGTGGATGGAGGAGATGGGGAAAGCCGTGGGCTATTGTCCAGAGGGCGTCAGCGCTTTCCTAATCGTTCTTAACATCAACAACAGATTCACTGCGGTGGATGAACACGCGATTGGGTTGTTGAAATCGTACTTCGGTCCCAAATTTGTTAAAAAATATGGTATAATTGTCATGACCGGGGGCGATACATATGAACGCATGAGCAATGGAGTGAAATTTCTTACGTGGTGCAAGGAGCAGAGAGGGCCTTTTAAAAAATTGCTTAAAGAATGCGACAAAAGAATTGTCTTATTTAATAACGCGACGAAGACTGGGGGCGTCGAAGACGAACAACTGCAGGAACTTCTTGGTTTGGTTGATGCGATCTACGTACAACGTCGGGGGAAGAGATACACCAATCGACAATTTGAGAAAACGAGAGAAGCTCGCGATAAGATGCACTTAGAAGAAATCTCTGAGGAAATTTTGCAGGAGCTGAGCATCGTCATACAGAAGTTAGAAACATGTGAGAATAGTCGGCTTAGTGATGAGGCCAAAAGCGAAGAATGTGAAAAACTAATTTTACATATGGATACTTTAGAAAGAAACAAGTCTGTTCACGGTAATGGTCTTCCAATAACAGCTCAACTTTTCGCGGTAACCAAACGCACGCTCTTAGAGGGTATATCTGAAAGACAGCGCGTTTTAGCGACGTACAGTGAGGACGAAAAACAAAAAGTCGTTCAAGCCGACAGAATGAAGACAGATGAATTATTCGAGCGTCGATTAGAAAAAGATGACACAGGAAGTGTGTCGTTGTTACAACAGCAACAAGATCTAAACAAGCATCGCTGTGACCATTTATGTCGCGAGTTTTGGGAGAGACGAAATAGTTCTCTTATGCGTTTGGAAACAAGCTTAAAAGAAAGTGTTTGTGACTTATCTGAAACCTACTTAAAGGCCAAGGATGTCATTGATGAACTTGTCATCAACGGTCTGGTGGAACGAAATGCGCTGCCTCTGAACGATGCCCTTCAATGTCCATAAAAGCTTTTAAGAAAAAAAATGACTATCTAAATTATTGAAAAAAAATAAGTTGAACATATTGTTGTGTTTACGATTAAGCTAATACTTATGTTGTTGTTTATATATCGTAGAGCTTTCAAATAACTTTGTTTTACTTCACATTCCCTCGCACCCAGGGCTGCCACTCACTTTTTTTTTTTAATTTCCCAAGATTTGGTCAAAACATTTCTCAAGATTTCCCAAGATCATACAAATATAGGAGTTTTTTAAAAAAGGGTTTTTCTATGTAATTAATATAATTATAGATTTAATTAATGCTACTGAAACACATAGTACATTAATTGACTGAAATTTATTCAAAAAGAAATTTTAAAATTGTTTATCACATAAAAGAAAAAAACAATATTTTGTTTTGTTTTTTAAATGTATATTATTTTAAAAATATCTACACCCACTGGAGTCAGGCTACTAAATATTACCTCCAAATTATCTGATAAAAATATCATCTACAATGCATGTGTAATCGAAGTCACTTGGAAACAAAGCTCACACGTCTTATCAAGACAGAATTCATTTTACTAAAGGTAAACGGCCAGCCATCAAAAATGGTGTTCTTATTGTAAGTCTGTTGATTAGTAGTGGGGTTTGGAAAGCAATTCAGCAAAATTTATTAATAATAATTGTCGTTCAAATGGATTGATAGTATTATGAAAGCAATAAGTGTTTTTATTTTTTCTTGTACTGAACATTATAATGAAATTTTTCAAACACAATACTTTTTAATGGAATTTTTCATCTATAATCCTACAATCAATTACAATGCATTATTTTAATATCTTAGGTACCTGTGTGTCAATCCACACTTTTTTTTTCCAATTGATGAAATTTAGGCTGGATTTTTTACAGATGCATTTTATTTTGAACACATTGTACAAGTAATTTAAATAATCCAATTTTACTAAGGATTCTTGATTGAACACTATCGTTCACTCTTTGGCTTGTACTGTTTTAGTATGGTTGCTAATGTCTAACAGCCTAATGATAAAGTTTCCGAGCCTACCGCCCCTCCCCTTGTTTAATAAACATTCAACACCTGGATGTCGTTTGTAAATCTTCAACTAAAAAAAAAGGAGACAATTAACTTTCTCTTTAATTATTAACTTTTTAATAATTCACAATATTAAATTTAATTTCAGAAGAGTCTTTATTTATGTATCAATGGTTTTAAAAATTAAAACCAGAAAAGAAAATGATTAATTTTTTTCCTCGTTACTTCAAAAATTATTACGCTTTATTCTCACTGTATTGTTTATCACGTATATATTGTTTGTGTTTTTTTAAAAATTAATAAAATCTTCCCCACAGTTAAGATTTCCCAAGATTTTGCCAGATTTTTAAAATTGTTCCCCAGATCCCAAAGAGAGGGGGGGGGGGTGGTCGTGAATTCCTAAGATCTTGGGAAATTTCCCAAGGTGTGGTAGCCCTGCTCTCACCCACCACTCCCTCTCTCCCTCTCTAGCTTTCTCAATATATATATATATATATATATATATATATATAAAAATTATGTTTGATGTATTGATATTATTATGAGCTTATATATATATATATATGTATACTTCTATGTAAACAAGTCTACATGTGTGCTAGAGAGAGAGAAAGAGAGAGAGAGAGAGAGTGGGAAGGAGAGGGAGAGAGAGAGAGAGATGCAGGGAAACGGAGAGAAAGGTAAGGAAAGATTGGTGTCTGTTTATTTTTAGACGGGGAATGGGGAAGCACTGTTTGTAGAAATGTTAATTTTCTTACCACTTCCAAGAAAGCTAGCTAGAGAGGTAAACCTTGTTACTTTAGTTTAGAATCCATGCCCCTGTTTGATCTGTTGAACTTGGCGGATCCATTATTTCAAAATAAATGTAGTGATCCTCTTTGTGTAGAAAACGAGAATGAAATACTAGCATATAATAAGTAAAGTGAATAATTTTGCTTTTAAGATGTTCTTTTTTAAGCAATATGTATTTTCTTTAAATAATATGACGCGAATGATCCTTAAATGCCTTATTTTAATCATAATGTACATGTAGTGTATTGTGGATTTGATTGCCAAATCTCTTATATTACAAAAAAAAAAAAAAAAAAAAAAAAAAAAAAAAAAAAAAAAAAAAAAAAAAAAAAAAAAAAAAAAAAAAAAAAAAAAAAAAAAAAAAAAAAAAAAAAAAAAAAAAAAAAAAAAAAAAAAAAAAAAAAAAAAAAAAAAAAAAAAAACCTAATAATTTCAAAAAAAAAAGAAACGACATCACTTCGGTAAAACATGCATCCAATTTTTAAAATTAAGAAACAAATGTATTTTATCAGAATTTGAAAATGAAATTTTTGCAAATGTTTAATTAAATAATTCCATTTTTGTACTAATTTTAATCACACATTATTCTATTAAAATAACAGTTCTTCATTATTCAACAATTGTTCTAATTCTAATAATTTTAGATTAAAAGCTGTTGATGTGTGATGTAAATTTAATTATGAGAAACAAAAATGCGAAGATATTATTAGGTGTGCTATTGAATTTTAAATTTTTTTTCTTTTGTATTCTTTAATCAGCACCAAAGATTTCCAATATTTAAAAAAAATTATTTTAATTATAAGTAATAAAAAGTCGAGAAATCTAATCAAACTTTTATTTTGAATACCAAATTTTAAAAAAAAAAATTAATTAACATTTTTTTTTTTGCTTTTATATTTAAAAAAAAAAAATTGACTGCACCAAATGTGATCAAAGAATCCATTTCCAACACACACAAAAATCCATATAGAATCATATGAAGCAGGCTGATTTTGAGACTAGATTTCTTACAACTAAAACAACACCAAAAACATTGCCTCCTTAACTACCGGTTAAAAAAAAAAAAAAAAAAAAAAAAAAAAAAAAACAACACCAAAAACAATACCTCCTTAACTACCGGTTAAAAAAAAAAAAAAAAAAAAAAGCAGACTTAATTTTTATCAACACGTTGTCTAAGAAATTTGCATCTTTTTCAAACAGTGGAGCAAGGATATGTGGAAGCTCGAAATACAATGACAGGACAATAAAAGAATGTAGTTGCCTTGCTCAGCAGACAGGTCAAATGAAGAAATGAATAAAACAACTTCTTTCCTTTACTGTAAGAGTGTTGAACTGCGAACAAAAAAAAAGATTTTATGTAAGTTATTGAGACCCAAACAATGTGTGTAAACAAACAATATAGATTTAGGCTTTAATGATGATTGCACAAAATACAGATGCAAACGTTTCGGAAAATTTCTTCATCGGTGCAACAAAACAAAAAAAAACAAACAAAAAACAAACAAACAAACAAACAACTTTCAAGTAAGTATAATTTAAATTTACATAATAAATATTGTCATGTCTTTCTATTTCAAGCTTCCACATACCTTGTTCCACTATTTCCTTCACACAGCTTGAACGCAGTCCTCCATTTATTATCCTTTATTGTCTGATTCGAGTGGCAAGAAGGAAATGATATTACATGATTGTAGGTTATCTTAAATGTATAACTCTGTTCTCCAAACATTTGCTGGTACCATTGTTGAAAACAAAATAACTGGAAACACAAAATCGCATTTTCCCCCCTCAATTCTCTCCCACTCACTTAAAACCCCAGCATCTCATCCCCGTACAACGCCATCACCTAACCTCTCAACCAAATCTCTTTATCCACTTATACTATTGCCCTTTCCTAAACGTATACTGTACACGAATTTAAATAATATCCATCTCTTATCCACACAGTCCCTAAAATCCACTACATCTCCTACACCACAACTTTTTTACGTCACGCCTCTCCCACCCCCCCTCCCTGAATTCAACCCCCACCAAAGTGCGCCATCCTAACACGAAGAACATTTAAGTATGGTATTTATAAACCCCAGGGGGGAAAACCCGTGCGGCTTACACAATTTACATCACACAAATTATTACCCTGTCTCTTAATTTCACATGATGATTTAGGTAACTTCCAAATTCGTCATTACCACATACTCCGTGCGGCCTGCTTGTTTGACCTTTAAATAGGTATGAAGTGGGGAAGAGAGTTCATTACTCGAACTGCATTCGTGTACAAAGTTATTGAATATATACTGAAACAATACATTTTGATGGTGTTACAGTAACAAAGCAACAGCAAAAATAAATAATTATCATACAATTGTAATTAGAGAAACCTTAAAAGAGCAACAAATAAGCAATCAATTTTTATTTTTTTTGGGGGGTTAGCCTACACACAGCTTAGTGTTGACTCATTTATCCTAATGAAGAAACGATTTATTGATATACGAGAAGAATTCACTTGGCTCTCCAAAACTCATCGATGATTTATCACTAATAGCAGCTACTTGCCAGTCTTGACAAAATGCTGCCCGCGGGGCAAACTTCCAAAATTTCGACGTGGCGCAAAACTTTTTATATGCATTTAGGAATAAAATATTGTTTTTTATTATAATTCTAACCAAATAAAAATAAAAAAAAATTCAAAACATCATACTTGAAATTGTAGTTGTTGAAATGCTTCCTTTAGGCGATAGCGTCGAAACACTGCAGATAGAATCTATATGGAGAACAAATTAATAACTAGATTTGGTACGTTGTCTCCATATGGATTGAACCAAATCCATAGTTTTACTTAGCTGCCATGTCTTTTTCCTGTTTGGTTTTTCTAATTATGTTTAAATCACTTCCTTTCTACTTCTCTTTACTTTGTTTTGGTCTGGTTTAAGCGCCCTCTCCTATATTTTTTCTGTTTTAGGTAGGATATATATATTGACATTATGTAAATTTAATTTATACTTATTGAAATGTGTTGTGTTTGTTTGTACTGATGAAGGCATCTGCCGAAACGTTTAATTCTGTATAATGTACAATTATTATTAAAGCTAACTCATATTGTTCTATTGACACAATTTGTTCGTGTCTTATTAATTTAGAAATATTTGGAACGGTTCCCCCTGACGTAGTTGACCTTAACCAAGACCCTAGCAGCGTCATTTTGCTGGATGACCGCTAACAGGGGGCGGCTAAAATGGGAGAGGGCAACTATGGTGCTACTGACATTTTCTGTTGGAAATTCCCCTGATCCCCAAAAACCCCGTGGAAGCCATTGAGGGCCGCGAACGTTTATTATAAAGGCCGTCAACAGAAACAGGAAAGTTATATACATGTTTTTAAATCCATTATTTTCTTTAATTTGTTAATTCATTTTCTATATTCCCGTTTGCTTCTACTGCACTCCTCATATATAAGTCGAAAAAAAAAAGGGGGGGGGGATTTAATAAAAAACCATTATATAAAGGCCGTCAACAGAAACAGGAAAATTATATACATGTTTTTAAATCCATTATTTTCTTTAATTTGTTAATTCATTTTCTATATTCCCGTTTGCTTCTACTGCACTCCTCATATAAAAGTCGAAAAAAAAAAGGGGGGGGGGATTAATGAAAAACCATTTACGTATCTATTTTGGAGGTTCATTTAAAAATGTTCACAAAGTTAAAGGAATTACATTTCTTACTATCACAGAAAAAAATAATATATTTTCTAGTTGTGTTTATTTTTCCACAACATAAAAGAGACTTTTAAAATGTCTCAAGGTCAATGTCACTTTTGCTTCCATACATCTTTTCTTCCTTTGCTTGTTGTCGATCATCAGTTGAAGTCTCATCTAACATATTCATTTTTCTTCTATCAGCATGTTCACCCATTACCCATTGCCTTTTGCAGCATGTGCTAAGATAATTTCCTTCACGTTCCAGCATTTGCATAACTTCCAAAGTGATTTGCTGCAGCAGCTTTTTCTCCAGTAATTTGGAAAAAAATCAAGAAAATCTCCTTTAATTACAAAAAAA